AGGGCTTCTCCTCCTCAGTCCCTGGCTCTTGCAGTGGGACCCGTAGATTGCCGACTAGGGCTTGGTGCATTGTTGGGCCATTGACCAGAACACCCAGCTTCTTTGGTCCACGTAGGGGCTGAGTCAAGAACGCTTGAATTGTTCTAAGAGTCGGAAAAGTAACCCCTGTTAGACCAAAGGTGTCTAAGCCTTAACCTAAGAGATTGGTGCATGGAACAACATGTGGATCCTGCCTGGTGGGAGGCACAGGTTTGTGAGGTGGGGCTCCTTCAAGATGCCCCGCCTCCAACTCCCATGCACCAGCCTGGACACAAGCTGGTGGCAGAAAACGGTTTCCCTTGTGGCCATGTTCCTGTGTCAAGGAGCCAACCATCGGGGTTTCGTCAATGAGAAGGTTGCTACATCGGACAGACGGCCTCAGTCACTGTGAGGAACTGGGGGAGAAGGGAGGGTGCCAGCACCTTTGAGACTGTATGATTGGCTCAGTGCCTTCCTGGATTTATACCTTTTGTATATTCTCATATTTCCATTCTCTCGTGGCCCTCTTTCTTATCGTTTCTCCCACCCTTAGCCACCCTTGCAGTAGAAACCGCCACCTTCATTTTGCAGAGGTGGAAACTGAGGCTCCAGGGCACACTGCTAGCAAGTGGCCAATCCAGAAGCCGAACCTGGATCTTTCTAGCCCCCACTGCCTCCGCCCCCTCAAGTAGCCAAGAGCTATGGGTGCTACTCTGCCCAAGACTCCCTGCTATCGCTTTTGTTTTCTCTTCTCTTTCGTTGTAACGTTAGGCGCCCTGGTGGTGGAGCGGTTACGTGTTGGGCTGCGATCCGCATGGTCCGCAATTGGAAACCGCCCGGAGCTGCTCGGGAGAAAGTCTGGGCTTTCCACTCCTGTCGACAGTTCCAGTTTCGGAAACTCACAGGGGTCGCTGTGAGTCAGCACTGACTCGATGGCAGTGAATCTGGTTGGGAGTTTGGTTCATTTTACTGTTAGCATCATTTGCATCATCACGAATAGGACTTCAGTCCATACGAAATTTAGAAGGTGCTGTAAAGCCCACGGGGGAGGGTCCCAGAAGCCCCCGCAGGAACCCAGCCTTCTGAAGCCTTCCGTCCCACGCTTACAGCCAGCAGACACCCTGTCTTCTTCGCAACTAGCTTGGTCCACTGCAAGGAACTCATCTTTCTGTCTGAGGGGGATTTATTCCTGGGAGGTGCAAACTGTTTCCGCTCAACTACTTATCTGAAGGTTAGTTAGCAGTTTGAACCCACCCAGCAGTGCCACAGTAGAAAGGCCTGGTGCTCTCTTCCTCAGACAAGAACTCCCATGGAGTTTACAGTTTCGCTCTGTAAACACCTGCAGTCACCAGGAGCCAGAATCAACTCAATGGCAATGGGTTGGATTTCTCCTGTGAGAACAGCCCTTCTTTTGCTCTGCCAAGCTTGCATCCTTTACCTGTAAACATGAGATGCCACCGAACGGCTCAGCCGTTCTACTGCATCCCCAATCGATCTGCCCCACCTCAGGAAATGGCACCCCCATTTATTTACCCAGCACCTCCGGCTCCCTGCCCCCGGGGCTCATTTTGCCCCCTTTCAAGTTCTCTCCTTGTTCCACATGCTTAGCAAGCCCAGCTGTATCTCGTGAAACCTGCTGATGACCGTTTCTTAGGGTCTTGGCACTGCCACGCCCTTGGCTTGGACTCCTGCAATAGCACCTTCTTCCGGTTTCTCCTCTGTCGGCCGGGGTCTCCCCTCTTCCATGAACTTGTTCAATGAGTCCATTCCACCTCACAGAGACCCTGTAGAGCAGAATCGAATTGCCCCACGGGATTCCCGGGCTGTTTTCTGATTTAGAGAGCTATGGCTTTCTCCCACCGAGCCAGCCGTCGGTTCCTGTGAACCACAGCCCTCTCTCTTAGTAGCTAAGCGTTTAGCCCCCCTGCCACTGGACACGAAATAATTCCTTTAAGACTCAAGTCAGATATAACATTCCGATGTTCCACGTCTGCTAATGGCTTCCCAGGGCCACTGGAGTAAATACCAAGTCCCCCGCCCAACCTTGCTTACAAGGCCACTGTGATCGGCTTGCTTGCTCTCTGTAAGCCCCACCTCAGACTCGCTCTCCCTTGTCCCCTCCTGTTTCACTCCCATGGGCTTCCTGCTGTCCTCGGAAGTCTCTAAGCGTGACTGGGCGCTATGAATGGGTCTAGAATGCTCTCCCCAGATCTGTGCTGGACGCATTCCCTATAGAGAGCCTTCCTGGCTACACTGAAGGGGAAACCCTTGCTACCCATTCTTCCACACTGCAGGCTGTGTTTCTTGGAACCTTTCACCTGCTTTCTGTGTCACCATTGGGCATTGCAGTGCACGAATGGGCATTTATTGACTTGCTTCTGCGTCTGCTGTGAGAATGCCAGGGGCTGTGTTGGCGACGCTGCTGGCACCCACAGCACAGTGCCCACAACGTACAGCTGCTTGTTCCCTATTTCCTGAATGAACGAATGCGTGAACGAGCATGCACAGGCAGAGGGAGGGCACCGCCATTTGGGGTGGCACCTTCCCTCTCTGACAGGGCCGTCCGCTCGCTCACGGCGGGAGGTATGCACTCATAATTGCATTTTATGCACAGGAACCTGAGGCTCCAACTCACGGGAGACCACACAGCGAGCAGGGGGCCGAGCTCCTTCTAGAAGGTGCCACGTGGGCCTGCCGCCTGGGCCCAAGTGTTCTGCGCCGCTGCCCTCTGCTTCCGTTTGCTGCTAATTCTTGTCACTGCAAACTGTCCCTTCATGAGAAAGGACTCTCATCCCGTTCAATAGCCCCAGCTCTCCTACTCCCTACTTGACCCTCTGCTCTGCCAAACAAGAACTCCAAGAGTTCGCTTCACACACTGGCCGGGTGAGTGGGTGGGACAGTGTGAGGTGTGCCTGGGCGGCCCCTGGTCAGGCGCTGCACCCCGCCCCGGGGTGTGCTGGGCCTGGATGAAGTCGGGGCGGGGGTGTATGGGGTGCGTGTGTCTGCCACACACCCAGCCCACAGTACCTGATGAAGCTGCTTCTGGGGACTCATTTGGCTAAAGATGCCGTGTTCCAGATTCAAGATGAAATGCAAATTTCCATGTTCATAAGGGCAACTAGTTGGCTGGCCTTCGGCACAGAATTCCAGCTGGGTTAAGTTAGGGGTGCCGAAACACTTCCAAACCAGGGCTCTTTTTGGCAAGTGCCCACAGCACTTTCATCTGATGGCAGACTCGTTTTCCCTTCCAGTCTGCCCTGCGTTCTCCTTCGTCTGTTCTTGGGCGTCGTCCAAGTGCCAACGGCCCTGCCGCCTCACTGATGTCCATCCCTCCCCTGGCCTCTGTGAGGGACATGATTTCATCCCATGCGTTTCTGAGGACGGCCATTGTACTGGTGCTGCCGGTGTGGGCCACTGGCTCAGAGGCGTGGTCTTGTTCTGGCCCCACTCTGCATTTGCCAGCCAGGTTCTCTAACCACCTCTTAGGCACCCATGTTCTCACGGGACCCTGTGTAAGATCAAGGTGCCAGGGTGGAAGTTCTCTCCTCTAGCGTCTGGCCATCCTGTGCTGCTGGGGATTGGTGTGACGTCCACTCTGGTCTCCACCGCTTGCCAGCCTTTCAGGTCACCCCTTAGCCAGGCTCCTAGGGCTGCTGTGCCCGCTTCCCCACCGGCCCTCCCACTCCCATCATCTCGGGCTTTGGGATAATGACAATGCCTCCACTGGACACTGTGCTCGGCTGTGTTCGAAGTCCTTTACAGGAACTGACCCATCGTACTGCTAACCAACCCAATGTAGCGGGCACTTCCTATTTCAGAGAGGGAATGGAAGTTCAGAGCTACCGTTTTCCCCAAAGTAAGACACCCCCTGAAAATAAGACCTACTTACAGTGTTGCCTCTCGCTGAAATATAAGGCATCCCCCCCAAATAAGACCTCCCCCAAAATAAGGCCCCCAGAAGCTACTGGACTCTGGACCATAGCGGTGGGGGCCGCTGCGCAGCTCACTGTTGGCCGCAGTGCAGCCGGAGCAGACAGGAAGTGCGAGGTCTCTTAATAAAACAATAAACAATAAATGTGTACCGTATTCTTCTTCATGAAAAAATAAGACATTCCCCTGAAAATAAGACCTAGCGCATCTTTGGGAGCAAAAATTAATATGACACGGTCTTATTTTTGGGGAAACAGGGTAGGTGAAGGAGCAGAAGCGTGGCCTGACTTGACAGTTCTCCATCCTCATTTGATTCTGCCGTCTGTCACTTGAAGGTGAAGAGCAGGATCTTCCGGTAAAATGCATGGAGATGTACCTCTCGACCCCACCCTTGCTAGGCACTCTGGGCATGGGAACACCACACTGGGTTATCAGTTTCTTCACCTGTCAAATGGGTGTATGTTAACTCCAAAGTTTTTGAATAGTTTTAAGGAGGGAATGGGACCAGTTCTCAGCAGTGACTGTGGCCCCATGACTGCTGTGGTCCTCCCACTCACGTGGGTGCTGGTCCTGGGGTCCTGACTGTGAAGGGCGTGGGTTCAGCCCAGCGCAGACAAGGCAGAAACTGCGGGGTATCTGGGAAGCTGGCCTTCTAGGGCGGGTCATGCCACAGGGCGGGTGACCTTGACCGCTGTCCACATCTGGGCCTCATAGAACTGAGGCGAGATGATGAAATGGGTCACCCTGGATCTCCAGCCACCCCCCTAGCATCCTCCTGGGAGGGGGGGGTCTGCTGTGTCCCCCAATCATGTGACCATGGGGTTCTGCTACTAAGCTCTAGCTTGGCCAGATCAAGAAGAGGCTCCTGGGTCCACCACGCCCCAAAGATTATTGGAAAATAATCTTTTGTTAACTTGTTGCATTCTCAACAGGCTTTCCAGCTCATAGCCCGCCCACCCCAAACCCAAAGGCCGCAGGTACCACCCCCGTCACCTGTCCACCCTCCAAGAAACCCGCTCGGAAAAGAGACTCAAGACATCGCCCCAAAGATATAACAAAACAAAAAAAACCAAACTTTACTCGCATCTTAGCTGTTAATAAATAATTTACAGTATGTACATGCAGTGATGCTCCACGCGGGTTACAGACGCGGGGACACAGTGAGGGGGCTCACTTCCAAGCAGAACGCGATCAAACACAACCAAAATAAAGTGCTTTACTTTCACTTCCAACACAGGGGCCAGCTAACCAACAGCAGGAAGGGCCCGGCTGGGGCCCCTCCTCGCCTACCCCGCTGTTTTGGCAGAGAACAGGACCTCTCGGAGGGGGGTGGGGAGACGCCAGTTCAGCAGCCTCCGGGGCCAGTGTATGAGAGGTCCCTGGGAATCAGGAGAGGGGGTGCCCGGGACGAGGGTGGGCAGGTGGTCAGTGTGGGGCTGCAGGGCGTCCATGATGACGGTCTTCTGGGGGGAGCCCAGGCCCACGTTGGCCCCGGGCTCTCAGACAGCAGCAGGGCCAGACTCGCGGTGGCACATCTCTCCTGGGCTTAAGGGACGGGACTACTTTCTTTGAAGGGACGGGACCCTGCTCCCCTCCCTGGACAGGTGGTAGGCCAGGCTGTGCCCGGCAGGTGTGGAGGGAGCAGAAGGCCAGGGCAGGCCAGCTGGCCCTGTCCACCGTCTCTGCTCACACCTTGCCCAGGGGCTCTGCTGGCGGGTGGAACCTGGTCAGCGGGGTCCCTTGTCTGCTCAGAAACTTGAGACCGAGGCCCAGCTAAGCTTCCTATGCACACAGGGATTGGGGGGTGGGGAAAGGGGGAGGGCAGGTGCAGTTACAGTCCCTGGGCCAGCTCCTCTGGTCATCAGGGTGGTGTAGGGCAGGAAGTGCCAGCCCATGGCCAACAGATCCCATCAATTTCCTAATGGGGCTGAGGGGCGCCCTGGCACCCTGCCTGGGGTGAGTGCTCACTGATGCCTCTGCTCCTCAGCGCCCCGGGTGGGGCGGGGCGGGCCTGTGGGGGGGTGTGCGCATGTGCGGGGCGTGTGGCACGGGCAGCCCCCCACCCTTGCCAGCCTGTGGCAGGAGGCCCTGCCCGTTTCAGTGCATCTCAGGGGGCGGGGGCCGGACTCCGAGGGGTCCCAGTGTCTGTCTCCCTGGCAGTGGGGAAGGGTTCGGCCTGGGGGGCTCTGCTTTACACATTCACACTGCGGGGTGGGGGCGGAGGGGAGCTGCTCTCCCTCTCGCACGACTCTACTGTCACAAACATCACAGCACCAGTCACCACAACCTTGTCACGTGCACGAGGGGCAGGAGCGGAGGGAACATCCGATGCCCCCCAGCCCTTGCTGGTGGGCGGTGGGCCACGGCAGCTCTGAGGTAACTGTCCCACAAGCCCACTAGTTTCGTGGCCACCTCCTGTGGACAGTGCAGGCTGCAGGGAATGGTGGCCGACTGCACTGGCACCCCGGAGGAGAAACCAGGGCGCAGGGGCCTGCACACCCGGGACAGATGGCTCTGTCCTACCAGAACCCACGGGCCGGGCCAAGCAGGAGGAGGAGGAGGGCGCCGAGGAGGGCCCAGGGAGGCTGGAGCCGGGGGGCGGCAGCGGCCTGCCCCGGGAACTCCCGAGTCCTCTGGTAGAGGTGCAGCTTGTCTTTGTTAGAGTGCAGCATCTTGACATCCTCCAGAGCGTAGTAGGCGGCCAGCGTGAAGTTCACGTCACCCGTGGTGAGCAGGTCAAACACGCAGGCCTGGTAGTAGAGGTCCTCCACGGGCAGCTTCTCCTTGCACTTGGCCACGGCCGTCTCGTAGGGGAAGGTCTCCGGGGCTGTGGGCACGGGGCTGGAGGCCGCTGGCTTGCGGGCGCCCTGGCCCTCCATGGGGACACCATGCACGGCCTGGAACTCTATCTGCTGGTTGAGGGGGCAGCCGCGCAGGCAAAGGTAGAGGCCCTGGCTGTCCCGGTCGTCCACGGCATTGACCACCTCCTCCGGCATGCGGATGGCGAAGGTCAGGTAGCGGCCGACCTGGCGCACCACGATGGTGGTGCCGATGTACCTGGCCTGGATCTCCACGTGCTGTCCCGACACCTTCTCGGTGATCTTCAGGCTGTTCGCCCCGTGCTTGTCCCCGCCATTCTTGGAGCCGTCGGCGAAGGCAGCTGGTAGCTCGTCCATCTCGGCCTGGTACACTTTCTGGTCCACGCACTCCTGGAAGTTCTTGAAGATGATGGTGAGCTACGGGGATGGGGCAGAGGGGGAGAGGCGGTTAGTGGGCGCCATCGGCAGCAGGCCAGAAGATGCCCCCAGGGTGCTCTGCTGTGGGGAGAGCAGGCCCCGCTCAACCTCCTCCCAGGTGCTCCAGACTGAGAAGAGGCATGAGATAGACGCCCTGGACCTGCACGCCCCAAGCTGGGTCGCAGCGCTGCACTCTTCTGGACTTAAAGGAGTTCCCAGTAGAGCAAGAGGGGCCCTGTGGCATGGTCCGGTAAGCGCCGGACGGCTAACCTCACGGTTGGTAGTTCAAATCCACCAGCTGCCCTGCTGCGGGTGGGTGTAAAGATGAGGCTCTCTGCTCCCATAAAGATTTAGTCTTGGAAACCCTACATAGGATGCAATGAGTCAGTAGCGGAAACAGTTATGCGCCAGACTCCTGACGGCAAGGTTAGTGGTTCCAAGCCACCCAGGGGCACCTCGGAAGGCAGATTTGGTGATGTGCTTCTGAAAGGTGACGTGCTTCTGACGTCACCACTTTGAAAAGCCTCGAGAATACAGTTCTGCTGACACGCTGGCTTCTTTTATTTTTCATCCTATTCTTTAAAAACAATTTGTCTTTTGTACTTGATTTTTTTTTTTTAACTTAGAAAGAAAACCTCAGGTCACTACTAGAAAATGAGGGCCATTTACGCGATACACGAGGGAACCCTGGAAATAACCACAGAGCTGCTTTGAAAAACCGCTCGGCGATGTGGGAGGCTGGATCATGGCCCGATCCCCACTACCTGGGATATTTTCTTCCACGGCAAGGGGGTCCTTTCATGTGTAAGTGTGGGATCCTGAGGCAGAGCAATGTGGTCACGGAATGATGAGCCCACAAGCCACGGGGTGCCTGCACCACCCAAAGGTGGAGAGCAAAGGAAGGTTCTTGGAGCCTCCTCTGACAGGAACCAGCCCCACTGACACTGGATCTGAGGCGCGTTTGGGAGCTTCCTTCCCCAGAACTCTGCCGTCGTCCGCTACGGAGTCAGACAACGGCTCGTGACAGCCTCCCGCTGTCAGGCACCACCCTCATGCTAACTGTACAAGGGACCTTTGTGACCCAGAGCACGGTTCAGGGGCTGGTTTGCAGCAACCATCGCCAGGTATTTCTTCCTAGTTTGTCTAAGGTTAGAGGAGGCCCTCTGTTCCCGTCATGACTCACAGCCGTGCAAGTGCACAGGGCAGCTCTACTCTGTCCTACAGGGTCACTGAGTCGGAATCGCCTCAGTGGCAGTGAGTTTGGTTTTTCTGGGAGCAGCTTTGTGGCTTTACGACCTCCTGCAAGGGCAGGGCCCCACCTGGGAGAAACTAAACCAGTTCAGGTGGGGAAAGGCAGGCAGGGGGCGCCACAGAAGGGAGTGTATCTGACTGAACCCCAGAGGTGGCTGAGGGCAGAGATAGGAACTTGGGGGGGGCAGGACTAGGGAGGGGCTGCAGAAAGTTCCAGTGTGAGCATGCGCAGAGGCTAATGGGAACCTGGCTGGAACGGCTCTCCTCTGGGCTCATCACACCAGCCTAAAGCCAGGCGGCGAGTGCTGGCAGCCGGTAGAACCAGGACCTTCAGAAGGTGAGAAACCAAGACTGGTTTCAAATCCCCAAGCAGGCCCGGCGAGGGGCAACGCTGCAGTAGGACTTGGGG